CCAAATGACGTCCAAAAAATTACCCAGTTCAAAGGTCAAATGTTGAATGTCAATATGACGTCTAAGTTGGGTCATGGTTGGACGTCCAAAAAGTGGACCTAGTTTGGACGTCGAATAGATGGACCGACGGACCCAATATAGACATGATCTGCACGTCTATCCGACCTCCAATGTTTAGTGGGTAAGGTGTGTAACCTACAATTTACAATAATTGTCATCAAAACTTTAGCCATAGTTTACATCAGAACATCCCTCCAGAGTATACTGTTATATTGACAACATGACTAAGCAATTTGACTGTCTTATCCGTACACAATGACACAAGTACTTGTCATTCCGATGCACTGACATCTTCATTGACACAAATATTTACTGTTGAGAGATGAACTAAGGATTTTGAGCAAGAGACTGGCTTGAGAAATTGTTTTGAGAAATGCACTTACTGTTTTGCAAATGTCGAGGATAATTCGAGAAATGTACCAAAGCGTATTTCATCGTATTTAATAAATGAACTTTTGTGAACCAGGGTGGAAGAGGTCATTTGCCAGAATGCATTACCTGTGTTGAATTACTTTGAATGACAATTCTGTAAATTCCTCTTTCTGTCATTACAATTTAAAGCACTCCTTGATATTTCTGGTATGTCTGGTGTCGTACGAGACATAAATGCTGCTTAGACCTTCACACACTCACATTTACACATCTGCTAGTTTCCCAACCTTCAGGTCTATATTTTCCATCCTAAATAATACTTCTCCTTGATGGCGAGAGTGTTTATTCATCACTTACACACTTGGTAGCATAAATACACACATCTATTCTGGCACGAAGAAAAAGCAATTATCTGAGAGATATTTAAATTTTTCACAAAACTTTCTGATTGGTTTTGCTTTCAGCCTCGTGTGTGTGTGTGATTGTTGATTCAGTGTTTGCCCGGCGGGCACAGGAACTCTGTTCTGGCGGTAAACACCAACAGGAGAAAATGAGCAGGTGCGTGAAGAGCGTCTCGAGCGTCTCTCTGCCTCTTTCATCCTGATCAGCAGACGAGTCCCTGCAGAGAGAAATCAGCCCGTCCAGAAACAGCCCAAAGTGAGCTTCACAGAGACACGGCAGGGAGAGATAAGGACAAATGTCAGTCACGCTCAAACCCTGGCTGAGAGAGTGCAGTAGAAACATGCTTACACAGGTGTCAGGTCATCTACTCATCAAATCTTTGGACACCTTTTTTCACATTTTAGAGTAGTAGTAAAGGCATCAAAACTACATCCTTTCATCTTTTGAACAAACTATGAGTTGTATTTGCCTGTGCAGAACAGTTTTACAAGTCTGGATTTCATTCAGGTTCCTTCTTCAATTTTTTGTTGTCCATCTACGGACCCCCTAAAGGGACGTGGTGATGGGAATTAAAAACGATTTCAATGGTTTTGCGTCCTCTCGCTCAAACAACTTTCTCGGGGGAACTCAAAAGACATTGGGAGCCAACGCAAGGTTTCTTGAGGGAGCGCCAAATTTTTGCGAGTGAATGAAATGTTTCCAAGGGGAATGCAAAAATGTTGCGAGAGAGCGCAAAAGCATTGAAATATAGAGGAATCATTCATGTCTGGAGCTCAAGTGACATGGAACAAGTTATGTAATAAAGTTACATTTAGGGTTAGAAGGTTTATTTGGGTACATATTTTGACAATATTAATATAGTGATGCTAACACACCAATGTGAAAGAATGCAAATGGTAGTAAAGGATTTATGATTAGGATGAGATGCGTTTCCAACAGTACTGAAGTAGTTTCCATCAGAGTTATTTTAATTACCTAAAACTGAAACTAAGAGTGTGTGTTCACACTTGGCAGGTTTAGTCGAATTAAAATAAACTCTGGTGCGATTGCTCTGTTAATGCGGTGCATTTGAATAAGTGTGAACGTTGCCATCCGAACCCTGGTGCACACCAAACAAGTGGACCACCCACATTTTCAGGGGGTCTATGTCCACTTTTTGTAACCGAACTCTGGTGCAGTTCGACTGAAATGTGATCTCAACATGGACCAATGACATCTAAACGAACCAAAAACAGGTGGTGATCTAAAAAGGACAGAATTCTCACCTGGTTCTTCTCTTCGTATAGGAGCTATTTTGTTTATTACAGTTCAGAACAGGCATTAGAACCGCTGTCTTCATGCAGCAGATCTTCGTTTGTGAGTTAAGGCATACACACTACGAGATAATCCAGACGATATTGGGCCCAAATCTCCCCTTCCGACGATCCTGGGTAAAGTCCCGATTATCTTGATGGTTCAACAGATTATCTTATCAGATTTTCCTGTGGTGCGAGATGTGTTAAGAGTGATCGAATGTTGAATATTTATATATCAATATCAGAAATCCTGTTGTGTGAGGGGAACCCTGAGGACAAATGCGCACGCACTCTGTAGAATAGATTGTCGCGTGGAACGAAACGTCACCCAATCGGAAAGTGAGCTGACGAAGACGGAAACATAACATGACTTCATCCAAACCTTTTTCTGGAATTCAAAAATGTTCTGTAAAAAGCAGTCCAAACACTATGGCTGCTTCCAAAATTGCATTGAGTTGGTACTTACTTTGAACAAGAAATTACTTGGGTCATCGGCTCTTTTATGAGTACTGTGAACTCTGACATACTACTTTTGTCACATACTGTTTTTCATCTACTATTAGGGAAGTATGCGGATCGGATGCAGCCATTTCTTCTTTCCTGTCGTTCACCATGTTTGTTTTGTTTACTCTAAGAGATTTCCCTCACCGCACTTCACACACTATTGGAACAAAACTGTTAAATTTATGATTTTTTTTAGCGTCATGTTTGTGGTCTCTCATATCGGATAAGATTTTAAAAATCTTTTTAGTGTGGGCCGGCCTTAACAGAGGAATTTCTGCCACTGTTTTGACTCCTTTACGCATTTTCGAAAGCTCTTCACGAGATCTCAAGTGGTAAAAATACCATAATATGTGCGCACATACATTTTCCCAGCTGAAGTTAAGCCGTGAAATATGTCATAAAAGCTGATTTCAGTGTTTAAACATTTACATTAGTGATCTACAGTATAAGTAGGCTACTGCAGAATATTAAATATTTGTCCTTCATTTTACATTCATTGTATTATTTCCACTACTTTTGGACCTGAATATATGTGTGCTCTCATGTGTTACCTTTGCAGAATTTTGTATGTTCTGAGCTCAGGCAGACTGACGACGAATTTTTGAAACGGGTGTTAGATACAACAATATGCTCTCTAACAAGCACAGCGTGATGACAATATGAGCATATTGAGAAAGACTATCACATACAAGAGTATGTGTGTGTGTGTGGTTTGAAGCCTGAAACTGTGGGATCGTGAATGCACTTATTTTATGATGCTATTGTAGAAAGGTGTGTGTGTGTGTGTGTTTTGAGGTGACAATAGGACTAAATACTGTAATCTGAGGTTTTAGTTTGACAGCTGGGATTTGGGTTACCCTTTCTAGATGTAAATAGATAAAATGCATAGGGAAGTGTGCATGCATGCGTGAGTGATATCGTGGGCGCCGCGTTTGTCACAGCTGGAGAGCGTGAGCAGCTGATTGGTTGATTTTTCCCCCCTGCTGAGCCAATGAGAGGGTGATATTTTTACCCTATTCCCTCCAGACGAGCTCTCAGCAGCCTCCAGGTACACCGCTGCGACACATTTACACACGATCTCACACACTAACACACACGCCTGCGTCTCACTCGCCTGATTGACACACTACAGTGTTAATGCATCAGATGCATATGCAAAGAGCTTGAAATGTGAAGGCTATGTTCTCGTTGAGCAGCAGTGGTGATGACTTCTCATCTGTGTATGTGGAGAAATATGCATCTCTGTTGTAAAAGCTAGTGAGCTGCCTAACTAGGCAGGATTTTAAGGCATCATTGACTTGGCTGTTCCAAACTGTAGGCATTTTAATGATGCCGCCCTGCAAAAAACCTCATTTTGGACAAATTCTACTGCACTGCACTATAAAGAAGCTATCCCAGAATGCTAAAGATAAATTATAGTGTAAGCAACTGTTTTCAACATAGATAATAATAAGAAATATTTCTTGAGCAGCAGATCATCTTATTGGAATGATTTCTAATATGAATCATGTGACACTGAAGACTGGAGTAATGATGCTGAAAATCAGCTTTGCATCACAGGACTATATTGCATTTTAAAATGTCTTTAAATAGAAAACAGTTATTTTAAACTCAAAAAGTATTTCACAATATTACGGTTTTTGCTGTATTTTAGATCAAATAAATGCAGCCTTGGTAAACAGAAGAGACTTCTTTTAAAAACATAAAAAAATCTTACCGATCTAAAACTTTTGAACAGTAGTGTGTGTGTGTGTATAAGACAAGGTTGCTTTGATCAAAAAAAATATTTACTTTATTTCATTAATTTACTCTATTGCGTCATTTCTGTAAAATACATGCATTTTTTGTTCTGTTCAAAACGCGCAGATCCTCCTTTGACAAAAAACAAATGTGTGAGAAAATGACAGATGGTTATAGTTGCTAAGATTGCTTTTATTCTGTGAAGTGCTCGGGGAGAACTCTATACGGGATAAGTATTTTTTACAGTCTATGTTAATAAACCACCAGCCACTTCCTGTTTCCCCCTCAATGTTTCTTGAGATATTAACTGGCCTTTTTTGTGATTAAACACTGTGTCTAAAAATATCCTCACTTTTGCCCGCTTGCAATTCCCTTTTAATGTCTCCACAATGTTCTTTATGTAAAATGTGAGCTATCGTTTTGCAAAATTGCTCAAGCTCTGAGTCAGTGTTGCCCTGAGGAGTTAGCTTTGAAGCTAATTAAAACGTTTGATATTTTCAGAAGCACAGGCGGGATGAATGCATGTGCAGGGCAGGACGTCCTGATATTACGTGTCCCGGAGCAGCCCATCAGGTGTAGCTGTGTGGATTTCACTAATTTCACTTACGTATTTCTGTCTACGTGCAGGTGGAATGGCTGAAGAACGAAGAGATTATCGATCCCGCAGACGATCGGAATTTCTACATCACCATCGATCATAACCTGATCATCAAACAGGCACGGCTTTCCGACACCGCTAACTACACATGCGTCGCTAAGAACATCGTTGCTAAGAGGCGTAGCACCACGGCTACAGTGATCGTCTATGGTGAGTATGGCGTTCATGCACAATCTGGTTTAAATGTCCTGAGATGCACTGAGGTTTCAATAGAGATAAAGTGTCCCGGGTCGTTTAGTGAAGAACTACAAGCCCGAGAGTGAGAATCCCATTGAGGTGAGGTGAAGACTGAAAGGAATGAGCTATAGTCAAGTCTAGAAACCTTTATTTATACAGCGATCATCAATTATTAAATTAGTTCATTTAATCTATAAAGCAGCTCTGCAGAAAAACAGTGGTGTTGTCGTCCAGCTCAGTTCAGTTCTCATACAACAGTGTCAGTACAGTCAGATCAATAATATTGTTGAATATTAAGTGTCTCCAACTAAGCAAGCCAGAGGCGATAGTGGCAAAGAACCAAAACTCCATTGGTGACAGAATTGAGAAAAAAACCTTGGGAGAAACCAGGCTCGTGCAGGAAGCCAGTTCTCCTCTGGCCAACACACCAACACAGTGTGATTATGATTCATGCAGCATCACAAGTCAGAAATCACATTGTGGATTTGTAGCATTTAGATATTCATCCAGTTCCTTTTGCTTGAAGATTGATTTATCATGCCAGTATGGAGACGAAGCTGGTCAAAGGCCTGTGCTTAGGACTTGTCTGGTTCTTGTGGTCTCTGTTGAGGATCTGTGCCGATGGCTGTCGTATTGATGAGGTTTTCACAGTGGATTGTCTAGTAGACACGGTCTCTGCTGACATTCAGGGGTGCATTGTGGTCGTGTTTAGGTGCAGGTCCACCATCTGATCTGTATACGGCCCGGATCCGGCTGACTAAATTATCAGTGTGGTTGTGTTTAGGTGCAGGTCCACCATCTGATCTGTATACGGCCCGGATCCGGCTGACTAAATTATCAATGTGGTCGTGTTTAGGTGCAGGTCCACCATCTGATCTGTATACGGCCCGGATCCGGCTGACTAAATTATCAATGTGGTCGTGTTTAGGTGCAGGTCCACCATCTGATCTGTATCTGGCCCGGATCCGGCTGACTAAATTATCAATGTGGTCGTGTTTAGGTGCAGGTCCACCATCTGATCTGTATACGGCCCGGATCCGGCTGAGTTTATCATGCGTTGTGGTCGTGTTTAGGTGCAGGTCCACCATCTGATCTGTATACGGCCCGGATCCGGCTGACTAAATTATCAATGTGGTCGTGTTTAGGTGCAGGTCCACCATCTGATCTGTATCTGGCCCGGATCCGGCTGACTAAATTATCAATGTGGTCGTGTTTAGGTGCAGGTCCACCATCTGATCTGTATACGGCCCGGATCCGGCTGACTAAATTATCAATGTGGTCGTGTTTAGGTGCAGGTCCACCATCTTATCTGTATACGGCCCGGATCGGCTGAGTTTATCATGCGTTGTGGTCGTGTTTAGGTGCAGGTCCACCATCTGATCTGTATACGGCCTGGATCCGGCTGACTAAATTATCAATGTGGTCGTGTTTAGGTGCAGGTCCACCATCTGATCTGTATACGGCCTGGATCCGGCTGACTAAATTATCAATGTGGTCGTGTTTAGGTGCAGGTCCACCATCTGATCTGTATACGGCCTGGATCCGGCTGACTAAATTATCAATGTGGTCGTGTTTAGGTGCAGGTCCACCATCTGATCTGTATACGGCCTGGATCCGGCTGACTAAATTATCAATGTGGTCGTGTTTAGGTGCAGGTCCACCATCTGATCTGTATATGGCCCGGATCCGGCTGACTAAATTATGCGTTGGGGTCGTGTTTAGGTGCAGGTCCACCATCTGATCTGTATACGGCCCGGATACGGCTGAGTTTATCATGCGTTGTAGTCGTGTTTAGGTGCAGGTCCACCATCTGATCTGTTTACGGCCTGGATCCGGCTGAGTTTATCATGCGTTGTGGTCGTGTTTAGGTGCAGGTCCACCATCTTATCTGTATACGGCCCAGATACGGCTGAGAACAAACCAGAAATATTGTATTAGTTTTCCTGCATGTAACTGACATCAGAGAACATGAACAAGCAAATGTGTTGTACATTTTTTTTTTTTATATTAACCTAAAACTTTGACATACACTTCACACAATTTATGTTCTCAACCACACATATGGATTTTTGATGTTTCATTTGTCTATTTTTATTTATTTATTTTTAATTACATTTTTTTTTATTAAATATAAATTTATTTTGTAGTATTTATCAATTTAATATTTTTTTAATGTAAATTAATTTATTTTTACATTTATTTTACAGTTTTAATGTTGGGATCATATACAGAATCATATAGAGAATTTTTTGCACCTTTTTTGATACTTTTGTGACATTTGCATTCTAATGCTATGATGAAATTGCTTTGAACTGTTGACTATCTGCATATATGTCACGAGACGTCTGTCGTTTTCATCGGTAGATCCCGACATTACAAGGTCAAAAAGAAAATGAAACATTTTACATTATGCACAGATTGAATGGTCACAATACGATCTATAATTTGCGTTTAGAAAATTGATATAATTTTATTTTTCATGCTTACTTTAAAAGGAAAAAAACATTTTTGTAACCAGTGACTTATGAGCAATCAAGGATTTTTTTTTTTTTTTTTGGGCAGACTTGACCACAGTCAATTGGGAGAAGAGCTTTCATAAAATTAATTAAAAAGTTTCCAGCTTGTAATTATAAGTTTGACGAAGACATGAATATCCCTTTTTTACAGGCTGGAAACTCATAATTACTGTAATTTCGCCATGGTGTGAACGCATCATTACAGTGCTTGCAACATATTTTTCTTCTTCTTCTTTTCACCACCTTTCAGCAATTAATTTAACGAAAACTGCTTGTACAAACTCCATTCAAATGTTGTTTTCTATCTCATTTTATTATGTGTGCTGCTATCCTTCCTTTTTGCCATTTATATCTAGGCTATCTTAATACTAAAATTTTATATAGAAAAAAAAATCTATTTGACTTAACCCTCCCTAAAACTTGACGGGAAGTGAAAAACCTCATTCAATTTTCCCAGATTTGATATGAGTTTTACTGTTAAGTATATTTTTGTAGCACATGTAAAATTATAGCTTGACCTCCTGAGGTGGCCGAATGAGATTTTCTGATGTTTAAGCACCTCCTTTCACTTGCCCTTTGTTTAAAAACTGATTTTTTAAAAGAGTCAAGCCTTCATTTGTGGAAAGTACTTCCACCTCTTTTATATGCTCTTTTCACTTTCCATTGTACTTGATATTCCTCATAAAACCAGCTCCAGCTGTGATAAATTGCTATATGGTGTGTTCAAATGTGTTTTTAGGGGTGATTAATAGTCCAAGTTCATGTACAGAACTTTGCAAAAAGAAGAGAAAACTTCAGAATAATGTCACGGTGTTCATGCATGAAGTTGTGTGAACAACACACGGCATCCGTGTAGAACCGAGCACAAGCCTACTTTGGTCAGAGCGGTATGAGATTAAGGTGTTTACATGCCTGTTTATTGCGATTATTGCAATTTATCTGTGTTTTTTTTCTCTCAACAACTTACGTTTCACCTTGTCGACATACTGAGGTGCAACTTATTTTCTGGAAAATAAGGTAAATTATAAAATTGTGTTGATTATTCGTCTTCTTCTTCGAGTCCGTTGCAATTTTAGATGTCGTTCTGCCAAAATCTGGCGTTAATTGTATTATTAAAAAGTGCATATTTACAGATGGGACTTTTTGCACCAGTAAAACAAGCATATTGTGTTTTAATCACTGTTAATTATGAGGTGCATGGTCCTTGGAAAAATGTACACCCTATATACCCCCTCACACACAACAAACACAGACACACATGCAAACAAGCTCTCATGTGAAAAAGTGTCGGCACCACCCGCTGATTATCACTCTGACAGGATCTGTGTGAGTGTGTGTGCATGTGTTTTTAGCATCTGTCACGCGTGTCACTGCACTTGCACACGTATCAATTACTCCTGCATCTGTAAAACACTCGTCTCTCTCGCACTTCTGAGCGTTTAATGGCTTGTCATCCTTTTGAAAGATGGAAAATGGTCTGTTTTTTGCATCTGAAACACAGTCACCCTCGTTCTTGACCTAGATTCCTAGAGCATGAAGTCTGTTGTACTCCAAACTTTTTGCAGTTGTGAACTTCAGTGAAGCAGTCGGTAGTTGTAATATTTCCGTTTCGTCCTCCTGACAGATGATTATGTGCTGATGCTATGGTGAATATGTGAGAATGTTGCTCTGAAAGTGTCTGACGTGCCGGACCAGTTTTGGCAAAAATGGCCTGATGTTTTCTGAATGAATTTCTCTGGAATCTGTAAATGTTTTAGCATGTTCTGTGTTCTACAAGCATGAACAATCACAGATGAGATCTCTTTAAAATCTCGATTGTTTATAGCAATGAAATAAAATGGAGAACAATTGGAGAAGTATCTGGAAATATCATTTTTAAAGCAACACCAAGTAACTTTTCCTCTGCGGTCGCCCTACAGGTTGGAAGCGGAATTGTCCATTACCGCTGTCGTAAATAATTTAGCCTAGCGTAGCCTACTGTCGCACGCACGCTCGCTGAACGATGTCTACAGCCAAGGTAGAGTATGTTGCATGATTTCATTAAAGTATGATCTATTGCGACATCAGAAACGAAGAAAAACAAAATAGTGACTATTGTAACGCTTGACGTAAAGCAAGTCAAATTTGTAGTTTTCTTATGTCTCATTAGAACTACAGAAACGCGACCCGATCTGGCAATCTTACATAGCGTGGTTATAGCAGATATAGGACCGCAAAGCGAATCCAGACGTGCCTTTCACCCTGTTAAGACTTAATGAACCACTGAAACAATTTTGGAAACATTATTTTAAGGTAAAAAATCTTACTTAGTGTTGCTTTAAACGGTTTGCTACTTGCTCTTGCTAGTCGGTAACAGTTGTTACTGGGGGACGGGCATTCCTGGTCTAAAGAGCATTTGATCGGACAGAATTTTGATGTGCAAGATGAGTCATACATTTTTTTGGGTCTGTTTTCCTG